GAACATCATAGCCAGACATCCAACCTGCTGTGAGTCCCTGAAGGCTGCTGTGCAGGATGAGTGCAGCACAGGACAGACCTTCCACAAAGACTCCAGCCCCAGGAAGAGCTTTCTGAAGAGAGGTGCAGCACACAGTCCCCTATCTGTGTCACTTTAGAAGCTATCAGCGTGAAAGAAATGGGAAGGAAAAAAAATAAAATCCACACTTCTAACACCCCAAGTGAATTTCCATGCACAATGAATTACAACATGCATCCTTTGCGCCCAGTTTTGTGCTCAGTGAACCAAGCTGTGAATTAAATCTTGGCTCCAGCAGCTGAAAGACTGGTCTTTTATGCTGAAAAAAAATGCTGTGGGCTATTTGGGGTACTTCCATCTCCAGGGCACAACTTCCATCACTCCTCAACAAGCAAACGAGCAAAGTGAACACTTGGGAGAGTTTAGCCCACAAGCAAAATGCTTATTCAAAATTATGTTAATAAGCAAATTTCATTTGGGGCTGGGAATTGCGATTTCCAAATGGAAATAAGAAGACTATCTTGTGTACCACAGCAAATACATTTTTTTTTTTTTTTTCATGAAATATAGATCAGACAGTTTGGGTTTCTTTTGCTTTGATGCACTGCTTTGTGAAATATATAAATAGAATATAGAAAAATCTTTCTCTCTCAGGGATCTGGCAAGAATGAGTTCTCTGTCAGTAACTTGTTCGTACAGTGCGAAGCAGCTACCTATAAGGCAGTATTGGTCTATTTTGAACAAAATGGATATGTATTTTGAAGTCCCAGTAATCTCATCTAGTATAGGAATTAAAAAAAAGCATACTAGTATTTAAGTTTCCCCTATGATGTCTGCAACTGGGTGGATATACCTCTTAGCACAAACTGTTTCTTCCAGTCTCACCATTTCCTTTTGTTCTCTCATTTACCTTATTTACCACCATCAGAGGTCTGTTTTGGGAAGCAGGTTGATTTGTTTACTTGCCTAGAAGAGGAGAAAAAAAATCTGCACATTTGTTGGCTGCAGAAATTTGGGCACCAAATCCAAAATGCAAATTGTGCTGGGCTTTGTGAGGAAAGGTGTGACAACAGCTGTGCCACGCCACAGGAATCTGTTCTCAAGTGTCATTATAAAGAGGAAAAAGCTACTGAGGATGACCATTCTGTGGCAACGATAGTTTAAATCTCTTCCACTCTAATTCAAACAAAAACAAGGGAAAATACAGAAGTATTTAACAGCACAGAGTGGGAGAAGTGTTTTTTGGCTCTGGTAACCACACAGCCGTGAAACGCCACTACAATGGAAACTGCTCTGGATTTCTCTTTGGAACAGCTGCAAGGCAGTTATTTAAATGTATTCATTTACTTCTAGTATTTGGCTGGTAGGATCCACTGCTGGCAAAAGCAAAGAGAGAACGATGAATTTTTTTTTTTTCTTTTTTTTTTTTTTTTTTTTTCCATTTTAAGCATTTCTGAAGCACTGTTGGAAGTTCCTGGTTCGTTAAGCGACTGGAGCTCAAATAATTTCTTCTTCAAAGCTTCTACTGCAGAATTCATCTCATGCTATTCAGAAAGAGAGAAGATACTAATCACTCCAGAGAGTACATTAATCAGTTTAGATCACCACTTGTTATGTTTCCTTTTTGCAAACAGCAAAGCCCTCTGGGATGCTAAATGCTTCTTAAAGAATTATTTAACTTTCTGCATACTGCATTATCAGACTAATCAGTTTACTATGATATAATTTTGCTCATACATAGCTGAGGTATGAAGTCATCATATGTGCCACAAAATACCACCGGCTTAAAAATCAAGAAGTCCTGTTATGTTTTGTTTCTCTCTCTTTAGGAGTAGAACAGCTTAGCTAATCTGAAGTCACTAGATTCTGCCTTACAATAAAACCCCATTGCCAAAAACTGAAAGCATATTCCAGAAATTTTTCATTTCATTGACTTCTTTGATATATTGTGAATGGTGTCCCAGAACTATTTTCTATTCTAGATTTCAGCTATGGATAGCTAAACTACCCTGAAACCTTACTTATCCTTGACATTTAAACATGGTCAAGATGCCTTAAATCTGTGCTCTTAATCACCACTTCTACATCTGGTAACAGGATGTTGGAAGGGAAAGAAGATAGGAGCAGAAAGCTTCAGACAGGTCAGTGCATAGGAAGGGTATCAAGCGACATGACTGTGGAACATGTCTTGCTTCAGTAAAGGGTTGTAGAGAGCACCAAAAACAGGTCCTATGTTGACACACTAGCAGGAAGAGTATTTTAAAACAGTAACAATTTCATAGCTGGTATCAAGAAGTGACATTCAAAAACTTTTTCAAAATATCGATCTTTTGTTACCTGACTCAGAAGACAGATACCATTCCCCAAAAAAAATACCAAGACAGATATCTTGAGAAAGATACAGTTTGCAAATAAATTAGCAGGAGCTTCCCCCATTGTGGTGTCACCACAAGCATCTGTAGGATTCAAGCCCAAGCAAAAACCTATCAGGGTGGGCTCTGGATTGCAAAAGGTCCTGCTGAGATCTCAGAGATTCTTCCCGGCAGTAAACAAGACTCTATTTTGTTTGCCCTGTGCAGTTAAAGGACTGATGATAGGCAGAGGAGTTTTTATTACTGAGATGTATACATATACATACATATACATACATGTTTATACAAAATAGATAATACTTACTTCTAAGACTAAATTGACCAAATGTGAGAAAAACCAACTATCCTGGCAATGCCAAAGGAAAGCTTAAAGTTAAAAGATAAAAAAAATAAAGCTAAAGAAAGTTTAAAGTAAAGTAGCAAAACACTTCTTTTTGTAACTGAGATGCCCTCTAGCTCATGCAGAAGGCATGCAAGGCTACTTCCAAGTTTAAAAAAAAAAAATCCTTTCTTAAAACATTAGTCTCTAAATGTCTTCTGCAGCACACTGTAGCATCTGCCCAATTTTAAAAGGTAAAATGTCATCCAGACAAAAAAACCCAACGTATTTTAATGGATATAGTTTTCTAAACTATATCCAAAATTCATTTGTATGTCAACACAAACATGAAAGGCAAGCCCATGCAGTCGCAGTCTGAAAAGTGCTTTATTTCAATACTTCCATCTAATGATTTGTCTCTTTAGCTATGTGTCTCACAATGTTCCTGCCTGTTAAATAGCTCTTCCTTACCCTCAGAAACATACACGTGGCTCCCAGCTGATTGTTTGGAGCTGTTACTCCTTTACATAGCATTGAAAACTTATGTCAATCATCAGATCCACACAGGGTTACTGAAATCTTTGAGAATTCATGCATGCATGTAAATCTGCCCATGTGGATATCAAATTTGAGTCCATTTTTACACATGAGGTTGAGAGAATGATACTGTTCTACCATAATCTCCCACAGTGAGATCCCGGTCTTTCCTTTGCTTCCTGTTGCCATTTCTTTTTGGCTCCCAAGCCAAATCTCATTGAAGCACAATCTCTAAAACCCAAGCATGGAGGGAGAGCTGTCTGGATTACAAGTCAATGACCAGAATAATCCATTTATCTCTAGTCTTTGGTCTACCAATGCAAGTCCAGGGCAGGATTTATGCAGCAGAAACTCCCTGCAGACACAGGAACGTGCATTTATTCACCCGTAAAGTACAACAGAATGGTGACTATGCTGATCATCAAGTCCTTTACAAGTGATGGCTTTTCTTCTACTCATTCTTGCACCACAGTTGACCTTATTTTCCCTTCAAGAAGGCGTTCATCCTGAACAGCACTCCTTAGATACATAAGTTTTTCATACATAAAGGAGGTTCTGGAGAGAGAACCCATGGAGACAGGGGTGTAAGTGCCTTTCAGAGCATGTGAGGAGATGGCCTGGGGGACCCTTTCTCCAGAAAGGGTGAAGAGTCCAGTAGCAGCCAGGCAGCCTGGCACACAAGCATACAGCATCCACTTCCTACCAGGTACTGTGTATGGACACAAAATCCTTCTCTGACCTTGACAGGGACAGAGACTTGAAAAGTAAGAAAAATACTTTAAAAATAAACTAGTTCTCCATTTGAAACACAGGAGGAAGAGAAACACAAAGAGTTTCTCCAAAGCAGATTTCAGATTTAGCTCATTTCACATCACCACCCATTAGTGGACATGTTTTTTGTAACTTCATAGGGTCCAGGAATTTCTGAACTACTGGACATCTCAGTGCATATTGCTAAGAGGTGTAGTCTCCTAAGCCAAAGAATCTCCAACAAACAATAAAAAAAAGGCAAAATAAACATTAGATCTCCAATTTTCTGACATTTACTTTAATTGTGGTGCCCTCTTCAGTAAGATATACATCCTTAAGAATTTAAAGTTGTAACAGACGCTTGGGTCTCTATGAAGTCAAAGAAACCTCTCTAATGCTTTTCTGAGATGAAATCTTGACTGTTACTATCATCTCATTTTCTGTTTATAACATTTACTTCACCAGAAAGCACAAGTACTTGGTATTTAGTACGTGGAGCTGAAGAAATCACTTAGGTATTTACAAATGTCAAGTCTGAAACGCACACTTTGATTTATGAAAGCAACATTAGTGTGTTAGTTATTTTAAGTATATTATTAATTTTATTGCTGCTTTTGGCTTAAAACTTTAGCTTTTCTGATAAGAACACTGAATCTGAAAGTTCCTGTGGTATTATTCCAACTGAAACACGTTATGACCTTCTTCTACTTTGTATTCACTAGGCACAGTAAAAATTAAACCATAGTGTAGGGATCACCTACATGGAGTCAATAAAGATTGCATTTTGCCATGTATTTTCTTCTACAAATAGTAGCATAACACAGCTATGTCATGTGTCAAAGTATAACAACATTCTTAGCAAATGACGAGTGACTTTAATACAGTATTTTGGGAAAAATTCCCGCAATGATTCAGAAGACAGGAAAAAAAGCTAGGATTCAATTAGGAAATTGAAAAGACGTCCAGTCAGTTCAGCTGCCAGAGTTTCATCGTGGTCTACTCACCTCAATCACCTCAGGTTGGGACATCATGGAGGACGGCACCAGATCGGTGGGGATATCCATTGTAGCTCAGAATGTCCCTGCTGTCCTTGCACCCTTCCTCTGCACCCGCAAACACTTGGTAGGAACACAGAAGCACTTCCTCAGACCCTAGTCATGCTGGCATTTGCTCCTAGTAGGAAGGAAAAACAGTTATTGAGAATAACAAGAGAACTGGGTATACAGTCAACACATAAGCCCCCCAGCTGCTGCAAAACCAACCTGTGAGTTTGTGCAACCTCACTTGCTTACATGACCATTCACAACAGATTTGCAGAAGTTTCAAAGGGCACATTGGAATTTGGTCCAGAACAGCAACACAATTCACTCAACCACAGAAACTAGAATTCACACAAACTGAATATAGCAAGAAGGCTAAAATATGGACCATGTACACCCTTGCAAGGAAAGATGGTCACCTACAAAGCATTGGAATCATGTCAATGTTGGGTTTTTTTCCCACAGTAAAATAAAAAAAAACCCCTCACAGAAGAGTACTCATAGAATTACTTGCTGAAATTTAGGATACATTTATTTCCTCAACAACTATTGTTTTACATTTCAGTGTTCATGTGAAAGTAAACATACACGGTGTTCTGTGTTAATTAAATGACTTAAACATTTTGACATCTTTATCCTTGATTTATTTTAACCATACTTATTTTTTTTGCCAGATAGGCACAGATTTGCTGTAGGTGAACATACTGAACTGGTGTGTAAAGTTTGATCAGATGATCCAACAGAATGAAGTTATTTCCATAACTGTCAAGGTTAGATCAGCTTCCGCATATGTTTCTATGCTTTTCTTCAAAGAAAACCAAACAAAAGGAGGAAAAACTGTAAATGGTCAAAAAATTCACTCTATTTAAAAATTCTGGACTAAGGCTACTGCAGTTTTTTCCTCCAGTCAGGCCAGACATATATAACACAACCTACAAATTAGCCACCACAGAAAGGATTTTGGAGAGACACCTATTGCTCTTTGTATCGACCACTTCCTATTCTGTAAGTCACAGTGGAAAACCACTCATGCTAAGTGTATTCAGCATCCAACAAATATACCAAAAATGACCCAAAAGCTAACTGGTATTTTTCAAACTGAGATCATGGTGTAGTCATACAGACAATGCTAGTAACTTTCCTGGTCACTGGTTCGTTTTTTCAAAGGCAACAGTTACCTACCAAACCAAGAAAGCACAGATAAGTGCTGTAGAAAGGTTGCACTCCACATGCTTTTCTGAGTCAGTTATGTATCTTTTTTTTTTTTTTTCTTTGTCTTGTTCATTTAAAATCAGCCTTTGCATGTCACTGTGGAAATTATTCCTCCTTCTTAAAGAGTATCATCTTGAAATGCCTGCTTCACATTTCAACACATCCCTGCATGCCTTACATCACATGTAGTTGTCCCATCTTCCAAGCTCTAGGATAATTTTTTCCATCTTTATATAGCTTTTCAGTGACCCCTACTCTTTCCTACTCATTCCGTGCTAGTAACCTTTCATTCTTTCCACTCCTTGCTCCAAATTTCTACTACGATACTCATGGAAAAGACAGAAAAGGGAGATTTAGCATTCCTCCAAGGAAGCCTTCACTGGAAGTTAAAGAACCAAGCTACACATCCATCAGTTTTCGTGTTTTATTTTCAAAAACAGAGTTTTGCCTGTTTTCTGAAATTCACTAGTTTTTCAACTGTGCATGACAGACAAAGGAAACAGCATCAACTTGAAACTACTGCTTTTCTGACTTAGTGAAGCTTTGCTGTTTGACCCAGAAGAGAGTGATTTTCAGTAAAACTCCATCAACAGCCTCAAGATTCTCAACCAGCCCACTTCATTACTGTCTCATGAGCTGTCACTTATGTAACTTAAATAAGATCTCGTAAGACCTTTGTTTCTCTTCTCAAAACATGCTTAAGGGCCGCAGTGTACTTACTTTACAGTAGCTCATTGTTATTTTCTTTTAAAATGTATTCTCTTCTCTTAATCCTGAAATGCTGCCACTCTTGAATAATGAAGATGGGCCAAAAAATTACAGATATAGACTTTAGGGAAGACTTTCTAGACTAAAACCAGAGGTATGCTTAGAATCCTGTTTACCAGATATAAAAGGGAGAGAAAATGATCATTTTTACTAGGGAGCATCACAGAGGGGAAGAGAAAAATCTAAGAAAAAAAAAATCTTAAGTCTGTTCAGCATTTAGTTAGCTTGGTATACTCCAGATAGAACACAAGTGTCAGAAAAATCTTCACTCTGTAAAATCCAATGAGCACTTTAACACAGATGAGAGGAGAAATAAACCTGTAGTCATTTTTCATCATCCCTCCAAGGATTAGAAAACAGGATTAGTAAAAAGTTTCTAAGCCTATGACCATTTCACATTTCCCCTTCTGCACCTAGCTGCATTTTCATTGCTTGTATTGCACTGATCCCTCAATTTGGCTAGGAAAAGGACAGCTCTTCTGCATGCACCTTGCTTCTCAACTTCCTGAGCACAACTTACACAGTGATTAAAACTTTCTGCCAACTGGTTAGGCTCCTAAAAGCATTCCAGCCGAAAATAGGTTGGACTGTACAAAAGGACTCTTCCTCCACTCCCAACCTGCCTCATCTTCTTTGGCAATAATAAAATACAGGGTGGACTGTGCTTTCACAGCAGTGCAAAAACAGGCTGACTCCATTCAAGCAAACAAAGGTGGCTCCCATCTTAATACCCATGTGAGTTCAGGGTGCAGTACCGTGTTTTTCAAGAACTGCAAATAAAGGGAACCAAATCCTCAAATGAACTTCACTAAAAGGGCATTATGACAGAAAACAAAATCTCTGTTAAAAAGAATATGAAACACAAAAGCACAGGAGTGGCTTCTTACTAATGAGATTTTGATGGCTTGCTGCACTACAAAACATTGGAAAAAACACCCAAATTTGGAAGCAGATTCACACATATCATTCCCAAACACTGGAACTGCAAGTGTCACAGGCAAATACCGCTCTACATACTCTTCTCAATAGAAGCTTCTGAGTGCATCTCTAGAACTACAAGCTGGGGAAACACGTTGGATCTCTATCTAAAATTTGTAAAATAAGATTATAGAATTTCTTATCCTCTGTGAAGGTGACTCATGTGTAAGAAATGACGTTTCACCATAAACTAAAACTTTTAATAAGTAATTTATGGTAACATATTGAGTTTCTGGTTAACTGAGGAAAAAAAAAAAAGCAGCTGATGCTCAGCAGAGTAGCATGTATCTAACATGCAGCGCAGGAACGCAGCCTCACCAAACAAAACGTACTGCTCTCTGACAGGCTTTCTGGATCAGCTGTCTGAGACCACAGAAAAAAGGAATCATACAGTTTTGTCATTACTTGGAGTAGTTAGGAGAAATGCAATCATGTATTACAAAAACACCGTCTCAAATGAACTGCTTCCAGAAATATCCTTTGCAATGACAAAAATTATTACCCTTATTCCTCCTTAGTTTCTTGCACAGTACATCGTGATCTTCAATTTAGGAGTGATACAGCAATACCAACAACTTCTGCGTCACTGCATATTTCATCTGGATGCACAAATGTACGATGCCCCTGCTAGAGTAAGGTGCTGGGCCTGAAAGGCAAAGTGGGTTTTCATAATCTGTGGCTGTCTCCTGTGTCAGGCAATTTCAGGTGTCCTGCATTGTTGCCACCCTTCAGCTTTGGCTTCCTGCACCCCTATCACAGCACCTTTTGGAAGCACAGCTTGACTTCACAGTCTTCAAATTTCTGGTTTACGTGACTCTGAAGATGCTGATTTGGTATGACCTTGAAACTGTTAAACGTGACTTAACTAAACAAAGCTACCCTCCCTGCATGCCTCTAGTGAATAAAAGCCTAACTTATGGTTTCTCTGAAGACAGTTTTAAGTCCTAATTGATCCCAGATGGATAAGACCTGTAAACCCATCAAGGAAAACAAGACATTTGAACAACATGTAAACAGGCAAGAAATTAAGAAAAAGATCTCACATAAGGGTATAAGGGTCTCACTTCCAGACTTCACTTCGGAGATATTCCAGATTTCATGTGGCAACTCAAGTCTTGCCATCCAAAAGTAATCTTTTGGCATCATTCACCTCCGGCAGCCTCCTTCACTAAACAACTGCTACTTGTAAGCATTAGTTTGTCCAACACACAAATAAAGGTATGACTCCACCATGGCAACCTTACAAGGCAAAAAGGCAAATAAAAACCATCCAGGGAAGAGCAACAGCAATGACTTGACCTGCCTACTGCTTCATTTTACCACTTGCTAAAGTGATGGTGATAACATGGATTTTTAGTTACCTGCTACAGACACATGGAGGCGTTTTTCTGCTCTCCACTAATGACTTCGTTAATAAAAGAACAACTACAGATTTATTTCCTAGCACATAAGAAAATCAAAATGAAAAGCAGAAAAACAGATTTCAATTTCGTTCTGCTAAGAAAAGAGAAGAGGCCTTCCTGTTACTCCTTCCTTTACTACAGTGACTGCCAGAACTATTGCAAAAATTTGGATTTTCTTTTGCAAGTTACAGAGCACTAGATCTCCTTCCCAACAGAAAGATATTATGTCTTTTGAGTCCTTATTTTAGGTAAAGCCTTCACCACCTCTGATGTTGTCACTTCAAACAATAGATGTACCCAAATGCAATTCACTAGCTTAAAACTGTTCTGAAAAAGTTATTTAATAGTGACTCTTCAAACACTGAAACTTCTCTTGACATATACTATAAAACAATCAATAAAAAATCCTAAAAAACCCCAGAATGTGTCAACATGATTTTGTAGGCGAGCAGAGTTACCTACAACTGTGAAATGACAGTCTCAGCAGACTGGCAAAGGGCAAAACACACCACAGAAATGCAGATAAGCAGCTCATCATGTCCCTGAAATTGCAAGGTGATCCAAACTCTGATGTCAGTATTGACTTCTTCGAAACAGTTAGTTTCAGCAAGCCTTGCATAAACACAGGACTCTTTTTAAAAGAAAAAAAAATATTTTGCATTCATCAGTTTACTACTGGTTAAAACAAGGGGAAAAGTCACATGCCAGCTCTGTGTCCCATCACCTCAGGACCTTCCCCCTCTTTCCTTGCATGGCATGTCTGGAATGGTGTTT